AAAATTTTCTTCTTATTTATTGCATTTTTCTTTTGTGATTGTTCCTGTTTGTTTATGCAGTTTGAGTTTTTTCATTCTCTTGTTTTTGCTTTTTTGATGGTTTATTCATTTGGTCTAACTAAGTGGGACCAAACCCACTAAGCAATCATTCCCACAAACTCAATTATACCTGCATGTCCAGCAGTCCTACCGAGAATAAGGGCTACCACTTTCTTTTGCACCAACTGACCAGTGATAGATGGCGGCCAATACCAGTTCAACTCTCCCTCAACTACTCTTTACAAACAGCCAAGAGAGATCTGTACATGCACTCTCATTCTGTATCCCACCCACCAGGAGACAGGCAGTGAGTGCCTAAGTGCTAACAACTAGCAAATATAGGAGCACAGTAAAATCCTGCACAAATCACACCAACACACAACCACAAATTAAACATAAATACACCACCACCAAAATGTCTCAGAGACAACAGACCATCACAGCCACACAAAAAAAAACAAGATAAAGTAGTAGAAACAAAGGACCAGGTTACAAACCAGAAAGCATCCCCGAGAAAGCAGCAGCACTGGAACTCCCTGATAAGGAATTCAAAAGAATTATATTTGGATACCTTCAATGGATGCAGAGACAGATCAAGGAAAACACTGATAAGACGAAACAAAACACTGACATAATTAAGGAAAACACAGACAAAACTCTAGAATAATTCAGGAAAACAATAAAATAACAAGTTGACAAAATGAACAAAAAATTAGAAATGATATACAGAAACAACAAACAGAAATCCAGAAGATTAACACTAAGATTTCAGAAACAGATAACACATTAAATGGATAAAGGAGTAGAATCAAATCAATGGAAGACAGAATTAATGAGAATGAAGACAAATACCTCAATACTACCTTGGTTAAGGAATCAATCAGACAAAAGATGAAAACATAATGAAAAAAGCCTAAGATTCTTGTAGGATACCATTGAGAATAACCTACACAAAATAGGAGTTCCAGAACACAAAACGACAGATAAAACCACACAGAAAATTGTTGAAGATTTGTTGGAAGTCAATTTCCCTAATATGATGAAAAGTTAAGAATATATCTATTCATGAAGTTAAATGAACCACAACCAGGACAGACTCCAAAAGAAAATCACCAAGACATGTCATCATCAAACTCAGCAACACCAAAGACATCCTGAAAGCAGCATGGGAAAAATGAAAAGTTACCTACAGAGGGCAACCAATGAGACTAAAGTCTGATTTCTCAGCAGAAACCATGCAGGTGAGAAGGCAATGGAATGATACATATAAAACCCTGAAAGAAAAAAGAAAAAACAACCAAGAATTACATACCCCAAACAATTGTCTATCAAATATGAGGGTGAAATTGGGTGATTTCCAAGTAAGGAAAAATTAAAGGAATTTGTTAAACCAGATCAAATTTACAAAAGATGTTGAAAGGAGTCTTTCAGACAGAGAACCAATAACAGCAAACAACAACCAATGGTTAACACACATGATGACATAACCCAGAAACCAACCAGGTCATAGAAGTATATAAAGTAAAATAAGTTTACAAGATTGTAAACAGGGAACCAGAGGCATCAATTGATAAATGAGGGCAACTATAAACCAAAATGGGATCTCTGGTGGTATAGTGCCTAAAGCACTTGACTGCTAACCAGAAGGCTGGTGGTTCAAACCCACCAGACACTCCTCAGAAGGAAGATGGGGCAATCTACTTCCATAGTGATCATTGCCTCGGAAACCCAAGGAGGGGTCACTATGAGTTG